TAGAGAATTTGGAGTTAGAAAATTAAAAAAATTAAAAATAAATTAATAAAGTAATAAGTAATAGCAATAATTAAAAAAAAAAAGAAAATAAATTTCACCACATCAAATCAGTTATTTCATAAAATGATGTTTTTAATCGTACCAAAACAATAACTTTAAAAATACAATACAATTAGTTTTAAATAAACAATCAAAATAAACGCATAGCAATATAATGCAAATTCAAGGAGTAACAACCATCCCAACAAGCTGTAGAAGTTCCCGAGATTGTACTCTCTTTTTCTCCTTACTTATTTCTCTTATTGGGGAGTAGTGTGATTCAGCTAAATTAGTTAGGGTTTGGCGAATGGCTTCTACTCCGAATCCAGAAACTGATGAATCAGCTAAATCTGCTTCCTCACCGTACGCATCTATGTCTCCTTTTGGTAAAATCAGTTGCATCTTCCCAAATTAAACAATTAATTATTTTTTGTTTGTATTTAAATTTGCAGGCAGAAAAGCGTATATAAAGATCCGGATGATGGGCGCCAGCGTTTCTTACTGGAATTGGAATTTGTTCAATGCCTTGCTAACCCAACTTACATTCACTGTATGTATTCCCATATTATTTTTTAAGTGTGCAAGATGCATTGTGTTTTAATAGGACAAGTAAAATTTGGGTGTAAAACTGTTAGTTTTTTTTTATCCCCTTCGTATTTATGGTGGTTTATTTTGTGTTGATTCTGATGCAGATTTAGCTCAGAATCGATATTTTGAAGATGAAGCTTTTATTGGGTACTTGAAATACCTACAATACTGGCAACGGCCCGAGTACATAAAGTTTATAATGTAAGTTCATTTTCTATTGCAACTTTATGATTTATTTGGTAGATGTTCCTTGTTTCTTTTTTGTTTGATGTGGACTGTGGTTGTCATCATCTACCAGTTATTTATTATTTCCTTTCTTGATGTTAAATGCAGGTATCCTCACTGCCTATTCTTTCTCGAGCTTCTCCAAAATCCAACATTTCGTAATGCAATGGCGCATCCTGCCAACAAGGTAAGAAGTTGTATCATTTGTTATTGTGGTTTCATTCTCCACTTTTACCGTCTCCTTTAGTTAGTTAATGCTGTCAGCCACTATCAAGAAAATTTGTCCCACTTTTTGTGTAAACATAGTCTCTGTGGACGAGAAGTGTAATCAAAGTATTTTATAATACAAGGTAGTTAGTCGTTTACCTTATTCCCCTTAATGAATTTTCTCTTAGCTTTTCGATATAGTATTATAAGTATTAGTTGGATAGCCCAAGTTAATGCTGCCGCGAAGACTTTTTCATCTCATTTCATGTTGTATATTTGTATGCCAATCTAAAATTGTGGTGCATTACTATCTGTGATATGATCTGATTTACATTTTTTGTTACTATTAGGAAGTGGCACATAGGCAGCAATTTTATTTTTGGAAGAACTATAGAAACAACCGGTTGAAGCATATTTTGCCGCGGCCGCTTCCTGAGCCTGCAACTGCACCAGCAACTACTGCTCCGCTAAGTGTAGCCCCTCCAGCTGCTCCACCTCCTGCTCCTTCACCTGTTTCGGCTGTAGCTCTCTCTCCGATGCAGTGTGCCATTCCTCCTGGATCTGGTCTTGCTAAAACTGACCCAAGGAGCGGCACTGTTGATCGAAGAAAGAGAAAGTATTTCATCTCTTCTTTTACTTTTCTCTTACTGTGAAAAAGTTTTCAAAGCTTGTTGCTGTGTGCTACTGTGCTCCCTCTTGCTCTGATTTCATAATTTTTAGGGTTAGATCTTTTGACTTCATGTGTCTAACATAGTTAATGGTTCGGTTAATTTGTTTTTTTTTTGCAGGAAAGACGGGTGATTTTCTTTCATTCGTGACACAGGCATCCGATCAATTTAATTCATGGATAAAGGTAATAACTTCATTTTGGAATTAGCGATTTAGTACTCTCATAGGTAAATGCATTGTGAAATCCTAGTGACTAGTAAGAGTGTGATGTTGTTTATTGAATGTTTTAGAGTCCAGCCCAAGTTTCAAACCATGATGCTAAAGGAAACATCAGCTTCTTCCGTTGAAATAGTTGCGAATAGGGGGAAGCCAACAATTATGTAGAAGAATACTAAGACAGAATACAACAACAACAACAACATACCCAGCGTAGTCCCACAAGTAGGGTCTGGGGAGGGTAGAGTGTACGCAAACCTTACCCCCGCCTTAAAAAAGGCAAAGAGATTGTTTCCAGAAGACCCTCGGCAAATTCAAATGAACGTGAAAGAACTACTAATTTATATACCAAAAACGATTTAATTCAAAGGAAGACAAGTTCAATCAATCTAGAGGAAGGAAGAAAGAAACATGAGGGAGAAGAGGTGAACTCATACAGAAAATCTGACCCTAAGTTTCAAGTTGAAGTCAAGAAAAAGAACATGAAATCAAGCCCTACGCTTAGAACCGTTAAGCTGAACTAACTATTGCAATGATTACAAGAGTGTTTGAAAAAAGCGATCGCTTCGTCGCTTTAAGCGCAAAGCGACCAGCCATCGCTTTTTCTAGCCTGAGGCGACTCGACCATGTGAAGCGTGCGCTTCAGTTGAAGAAGCGATGTCGCGACAAAAGCGACGAAGCGCCCTCTTCTGTTAAGAGGGGCCTTTTTAAAAAAAAAAAGGTTTGGGTCTGTTTTTTTATTATGCAAAACAGACCCCTAAGACCAAAATTGACCATTTCTCTCTTCTTCGATCGATATTGCTGCTGCTAGGGTTTCAACTTCCTCCATCCAGTCCAGGTAATTTTTCTTCTTCTCCTTTCTTCTTCTCATTTTTTTTCTTTATTCTTCTTGTTCCCGTGTTTTTTCTTTCTTTTTCTTCTTTCTTCTTTCTTCTTTCTTCTTCTTCTCTTCTCTTTTTCACTTTTTCTCGTCCAGCGTCTGCACAGCTGTTTTCTTTTCTCCCCCCCTTTTATCCTTCTTAATTTTAATATGTATTTTAGTTTATAAAATTAATTATTATATATATGTGTTATATTTTTCAGTTTATTTGATTTTTTTAATGTGTATTTCAGTTTATAAAATTAATTATCTTATATATGTTATATTTTCAGTTTGATTAATTTTAAAATGTATTTCAGTTTAGAAAATTAATTATTGTATATATATATATATATATATATATATATATATATATATATATTTTAGTTTATTTGATTTTTTTAATGTGTATTTCAGTTTATAAATTAATTATTATATATATTATTATATATATTATATGTATTTTAAGAATTGCGCTTCACTTCAATGAAGCGTGCGCTTCGCTTTGAAGCGAGGCGATCCCTTGTAGATTTTTTGCGCTTCGCGCTCTCAAAAACACTGCCGGATCCTTCATGATCTAAATTTGAAGATTCGGGGGAACGAATCCAGGTATGGATATGGTTGTGTGGATTCGGCTAAAAATAATCCAAATATCTAAAAGTAGAGTTATAAAAATAAGTCTAAAGTATGAGACATTATGTGGAAAACTTACAAGGTACTCCGAAAAAGAGATAAAAAGAAAAGAAATGATTTTTTCTCTTCAAATTATGGTTCAGACACCAGTAGTGGGATGCAAGAGCTGCACTGCATGTGCATAGCGAATGCAAGATGATTTAAGCTTGCACATTATGCATGCTTGATTTTGACTAGATAAAGTATTAACAATTCCACAATTGGGAGTTTCGCCAGGTTAATACACAGGTCCTCCCAAATTAACTGTGCTACTTTCTTCATGGACTTCTGAATAATATGTCCACTTTTAAACATGATAAACTTTTCCTCTTATCCATACTTCTTCAATGTCATGATTCCAAACCAATCAATATCATCAACAATTCAAACTTCTGCAACATTTTTAGACCTATTTTAAGAAATAGTAAATTTCAAATCTATACAAGGTAGGGGTAACGTCTCGTACACATTACCCTCTCCAGACCCCACTTTTGGGATTACACTAGGTTTGTTGTTGTTGTAGTAAACTTTAAATAGTATCCATGGCAGGTCAAATTAGGAAATTTAATCTGGAAAAGCAGGAATGAGAGGCTGCTTTTGACAGGAATTGAGGAAGCAACAATGACATTTCAATTTATTCCATTATTTGCCCCATACTCTTTCACAAATATAACCAAGTTTGAGGACTTTCAAATGTTTGACAAAGATCACGACGTTTGCAAGGACACATGGAAGAGTTCATCTTCACTAAATTGTTGAGAACTATAGTATTAGTTGAGTCTTGTTTGACATGTAAAAGCTGTTGGACCCAAAGGTATTTACCAACCCCAATGGTCTCTCTATCTCTTGTTTTTCTCTGGATGCTCTCTAATTTTCATGGACTTCCAATACAGAACCACGTCTGCACAACTCCTTGAGAGTAAGGTAACTATACAAATAGTCCGTTTTTTTCCTTTTTACTAATAAAACAAGCCTTGTGTCCAATAAATATTTTATCTACTACTTTTTAACTTGTTTTAATTCATAATTTACCAGTATTGTGTATGTACTTTTTTTAATTTTTTTAGAGCCAAATATTACTTAAGCTTTCTTGTGATCAAACTTTCTGTTATACCAATAAAGCACCAAAGCAAAAAACAATTTATTCATTCATACAATGGAAAAGAACTTACTTGAAGATTGAGATAGAAAACAAGAGAAATCCAATAATTATAAAAAAACAAGAGAAATCCAACAGTATAATGCTATTGGCAGTAATGTAAAAGTACAAACTGATTTTTTGGGTAGTGTAGTGCTTGATGTAACTTTATTTTATCTTGTTTCTTTAGTAGCCATATGAACTACTTTTCTACTTGGTTAGTTTGAAGATGTTACAGAAAAGCCATCATCCAACAACAACAACAACAAAAACAAACCCAGAATAATTCCACATGTGGGGTACTAATAAAAAAAAAGAAAAAAAAAGACATTAAATTAAATTAATAAAAGAAGACATTAAATTAAATTAATAAGGAAATACATGTCATACATATAGTTCTTTTACCCTAATCCTTAAACCCTTAATTCTAAATTCAGCTTAACATGTCTACTTTTATTGATACTTAACTCTTTCATTAAAATCTTGAGTGTTAAAGGTAAAGAGAATGATGTACTTTCTTATAACCTGTGCAAATTATCCAAGTAGAAGGAGTAGTTCATAAGGCTACTAAAGAAACACTATAAAAGAAAGTCACATCAGCCACGACACTTTCCAATAAATCAATTTGTACTTGTACAATACTGCCAATAGCATTTTACGGTTGGATAACTCTTGTTTTCTATCTCAATCTTCAAGTGAGTTCTTTTCAATTGTAGGAATAAATAAAAAAATTCTGCTTATGCACCTTTTTGGTATTAAAAGAATGAGTTTTGCTAAACTACTACATGAAGATAGTAAGTGAGCAATTTACCCATTTCTGCTTATCCTAAAGGCGGAATACATATACGGCTACTTAAACTTGTCCAATATCGTCACGTAGCTACCTCAAGTGAGGCTTGTACCTATTAGATACTTCAACTTTATTCAATATGTGTCTATCAAACACACGAATTAATTAGTAAAACAAATATGGTGTGTGTATTTCACACACGCTGACATGGCAGAACTTAATGAATAAAAAGAAACCACTTGGCTTTTGACTTAACTTAATGAAAACTCCTTTATAAAAAAAACAAGAAAATTGTTATAAGAGAGAAAGCCCTTCCCCCTGTTCCGTCTTACCTTTACACCCCCCACCCCCCAAACCTTTCTTCTTCACCAGTATCTATTTTCCCCCTCCTTCTACTCATTTTTTAAATTTCAGAACTAACCTAGTGTAAAGTAGCAGAGACGGCTGGGGGTGTAGTTTTAGGAAAATATTACATTTTGGTTACTTGCTATCTTCTCTTTTGTCAGATCTGCTGTCGGCAAACACTGGCCGGAGTTCGGTCAACACTGTTTCAACCTCCATCTTCTCACCAATTCATCTCCTCCTCTAGCGACTTCAACCATGGCTCAGCCATACCACTTAGCTCTTATGTCCATGTTTTTGTAGTTTCCTTTACCAGGAGTGACAATGAAGTGACCGGATCCGACCAGAAATAATTTTTTGGCAAGATATCAGGTTTAGTTTCTTGGTATATATCATTTCTATTAGTGGATTCTTTTCATAAGAACAAAATATTGTTATATCACCGTTAAGATAATTTTTCGAAAAATTTGATGAGTTTTTTAATTTGGGTAGATTCAAGTTGTTAGTCACTAATTTGGTCTGTTTTTGTTTCATTTTTATCTTGTTCTTTCTGAAATTAGTTTATAATTAGTGGGAATCTCAATTTGGGCCAATATCAAATGGAAAATGTAAGATAGAAGAAGATTAAACAAAACGGTGGCAAATTTTTTGGAGGACGGGGATGGCGGAACAGTGACTATAAGATGGTGTACAAGGTGGTTCGATAAAAATAGTTTAAAAAATCAAAAAGAAAAAAGAAGAATTGGAAATTTAAGCTTGTCACGCGCCTAAGAGAAGTGGAATGCACCTTTTTTGCCATGTGAGCTTTTTGTGTTTGATAGACACATATTGAGTGAAGTTGAAGCATCTAATAGGTACAAGCCTCCCTTAACGTAGCTAAGTGACAATATTGGACAAGTTTAAGTAGCCGTATATGTATTCTGCCTATCCTAAAATACTCGCGTCAATACTTAGAAAACACATCTAACAAAGGGACTCTAAGTAATTTTCCTTATTTTCTTTTCCTTCACAGTTTCGGTTTTCACTTTCACTCCTTCCATTTCTTCATTGATTTTTGCCAAATTACTCTACTTATTTTCTTTTCTTCTTCACCCTCTGATCAACGAGCTTTCCGAGAAAGAAACTGTGAATTTTTCGTCTTTTTTTTCTCTCTTTCTACTCCATTCAAAGGCAGCAACAACATGCTCTACATGCGGCAAGGAAAGAAAGGGGCTTGAGGAAGGATTGCAACGACAAAAATTACTACAGCGACATGGGTCTATCTTCGGTGAATTGGAATACACTTGCCACTCTCATTTGAAAAGAGGAATGAAACCCAGCTGTTTAATCACTAATTTTTATTAATCAAATGATAAACTTATTCTGCTGATTTTTGCTAAGCTTCAAGAAATATATTTTATTCTGCCATTATCGGCTCTTTTTGATGGGAAGAAAGGTTTTTGTTTTTGCCATTGTTCGCTATGGCGGAAAATAATCCTCCTATTTACCAAAGATGATAAAGGTTCCCAAACTTAGATATACTGATTATAGCATCCAAGGGAGCGCACAAGCATAAGTGCATATGAAAGATGAGCTAAAAGGCTTGGAAATACATTACAAACACTTTCATGTGCTTGTAGCGTCATTGGAGGGTACAAAGGGACCAAAAATGGATGTTAAAGTGCACTAGACATGAAACCACAGGCAGATATCTGTTGCATTTGGCAGAAAACAAAGAAATGTGCGCAGAGTTCTCCACAGTGTTGTGAAGAGCGTGAAGCGAGGAAAAGCGACAACCCCCATTTCACGAAAAGCGAGAAGCGAGAACCGAAGCACTCGCTTTTTTTAAGTGAAGCGGAATTAAAAAAAAAATTAAAATAAATACTGCATAGACAACACATGTAATTGTAAGCAAATGTTCAATACTTCAATTAAAAAACTAAAGAGTAGCATCAATTAAAGCACAAAATGAGCAGAAATTGGGCAGAAACTGGAAAAAATTGGTCAGAATTTTTCTGAAAAATTCGCCAGCATTTCGGCGCTTTTTGGACGTTTAGAAAGAAAAAGAAAAAGAAGAAAAAGAAGAATGAAATTAAAAAGTGCAGAACATAACTGAAAGTTGTTGTACTGTGAAGAAGAACTGAAGAAGAAGAAGAACCCTAGTTTGAAGAAGAGAAATTGTTGCTTGAAGTTAATGAAGAAGAGAGGAAGAAATCGTTGCTTTTGTGAGAACCCTAGTTTCTCGCTAGTTTAATCTCGCTGCTGAAGAGTCCAGAGTAAATAGAATGCAAGGTTTTTTATTAAATAGGGCTTTGGGTATTCTAATTAAAAAGGCGTCCGCTTCACTCGCTTCACTGCTTCTCGCTTTTTACCGAGAAGCGGTCGCTTTTTTTTTTTTTTACCAGAGTCGCTTTTAATGGCAGAAGCGCCGACCCTTCCGCTCCGCTTCGCTTCTCGCTTAAAGCGAGGAAGCGGTCGCTTTTCTTATTACTGTGATCCGGCCTCTAGATCCGTACCCGTAGCGGACACCCGGCCCAAATCTGAATTGGTATAAACTAGATCTGTCGGCCTGAAATTAAGTGCAGCGCAGAAAATATATTCTAGGTGTATTGGGATAACCGTGGTCACCTTGATCTGTGATCCACCATTCTTTATCGACTGCTGTGGCACTTCCACAAGCAGAATCTTGTCCAAGGATTTCCACGTTATCACTGATCTCTTTTACCTTTTTGGTCAAGTGAAGTACTTCCTTTTCATATTTATGGATTTCAGTTAGAAACTATGTATGTCGTGTTTCCCTTCTCTCGACAGGAAATACTCTTTCCTGTAAATTTATCACATAGCTCTCCAATCTAAAATCAGGTGTTCTGGTTCCTTGTTGCTCTTTCTGCTTATACTTGATTCCGGTCGTACAAATAGACCTAATTGAACAGTTGCAACAACTCATCAAACTTAATGTCTGCTTTCTCCATTTGAGCACAAGATGTGTTACTTCAATTATTTGGATTTACATGAATTCATTAATCTTAAGAAAAGCTTGACTCTGGATCTGATTTTTTCCTTTCTCCCTCAGCTTGCCCCTCCCCCTCTATCTCCCATTTCTGATTCCCACATCTTTATTTATTTATTTTCTTTTGGTGTGTGTGTGTGTGGTGGGGGGGTGGGGGGGGTATCGTA